TGTGAGCAAGTGGAACTGAAAACAAGCCATGTTAAATGATTTTCAGCTGGGTATCAAATTAAGAGATAATTTTGTATTGAGAAAACACATTGACATTAATATACAGCAAGGGTGTATTTGGTTTTCCAAGGTCAGCTCAGATATCTCATTCAAACAATTCCCGATAGTTTTAAAACTTCAGTGAACACAAAAAACCTTTCACTTTCCAATGTTCTCCAGTTTCTCTTAATTAATGGAAGACCTTTAAGAAAAATGAGGAGAAAATGCTGAATGTTCAAGCTCTGATTCTGGAGAATACATTTATGCCCGGGGAAGTCTGTGGGGGCAAGTATTTTTGCTTTTGCTACAAATGTTTGAAATGGAATTGCAGTCCTTTATTACATTTTGCAAATTAATTATTTTCTCTTAAGTAACTTAAGAAAATAAACTTTCAAAAAAGGACTTGGTACTTAGGTAATATCTTGACACATACTGTATTACAGAAATCAAAAGAAAATAATAAAATTACTTTACTTTGTCTACTTCATAGACAACTGGGCTTCTTTATGCTCTGTCTGATGATGTCCATAAATATCCTTAAACAAACAGAACAGACATTTATGGACATCACCAGAAACCCAATTGTCTATATTATGGTGTAAAGATGTAGAAGAGCTCAATTATAATAGAAAATGTGTCTTTTTCTGTGCGAGAAGCCTCTAGTCCCCACTCAGCTTGCAGCTGCTGCATCTTTGCTGGAGAATAATCCAAGGGTCACAAGCTTGAAGAGAAGGAAGAAACATATGCAAACTCAGAATGAAGTTCCAATATGAAATTGGTTTGGTTTGGTTTGCTAACAGACACCAATGGACAGATAATAACCGATTTAAGATTTAAAGAAAAGAATACATTAAAATTACAGTATTGTAGTTAATAGTCTGTACTCAGAAGAATCTCTAGTATTTAAAGATGAAGCTAAATCAGTAGAATAGCCAAATTGAAGACTACAAGAATTAATGGAATATCTTCAAAAATATAAACAAAAGAAGAATAAGTAAATGTTTTATCTGTCAGACTTCGATGCTATCTCAAAATAAATGAATTTCCAAACTGCCAATCTTTAAGGAAATTTTCTCTTTATTCGAGTACAGCAACCGGATCAGGTTTGTGCGGTCAGGACTGACCTTTGCCCCCCAATCCCTCCCTTTCTGATCACCAATTCTCTGCTTCTCATTGGCTATCTTCCAAGTCACTCTCCTGACTTCTTCCCTCGTCAGTTCACAGGAATGTTTTCCCCCCCCCCGCTTCATTTCCAAGGAGACCGAGCTTCAAAGGGATTTAGCAGGCAAAAGTTTAGGCTTATCTCCCTCTTCTATGTCAGCGCTGAGATGCTCCAGAGCAAATCTGGAGAATCACAGTGTCTAACAGATAGAAACATTAACATATCAATGCCAACAGAATGTGCAAACTAATGAAAAATATCAGTTTTGCATGTTAGCCAAATAACTTTTAAAAACATCCAACATAAAGCCCTATATGGAAAGTAAAATTCTAGATGTTCCTTAGCATTTTAGGAAATGTTAAGGAACAGGAAACATAGTACTGAAAAATCTTGCATGAGCAATACCGAAAATAATTCATTTTGTACCTTATTGATAAAAAAAATGACTTTTGATTGTGTTGACCATGTTGACCTGTGGAAGGTTCTGGGGGAGGAGAGGGGAATCATTGTCCAAACACAAAATCTATTCATGGTGCAGGAAGCCATGCTCTGAACAGAACATACAGAAATTCCAGGTTGGCAAAAGAGAGGAAACAAGCTGTACCTTTTTCATTTATTCAACCTATAAACTGAATATCTGAGGGAGGTTGCATTGGAAGATGAAGAGTGCAATTTAAAACTGGAGGAATAAAAAAATAATTGGCACTATCCTGATGATACTACTTAAAATGGAAAATGCAAATTATCTGGAAGCTGAAAATGCAAATTATCTGGAAGCTCCAGTAATAAAAGTCAAGTAAAAATGATACTGACATAAAGAAAGTCAAGCTAATGACAACAGGTTCAGCAACCAATCCAATAAATCATCAAAGTGGGGTCTAGCTTCTGTGTTTCAGAATTGGCTACCACCAGTAAAGAAATCAGCAGTCAAAAACTATATAACAGACTAGCACAGATGAGCACCAATGAAAGCTTTGGAAAAGATAATCAGATATTGTGATGTGTCTATATCAACCATCATCAGAACCCATGCAGGCAATAGTTTTTCCTGTGACATGAAAAGCTAAAGTTGGCTTCTGAACAAGTAGAACAGATTTTTTTTAAGGTTTTTACATTTTAGTGATCAAGAAGACTCTTTGAGAATACCATGGAAAGCCCAGAAAGCAAACAAATGGATCATAAAACAAATCAATCCAGGATGCCCCCTTGAGGCACAAATAACCAGGCTCAAATTAGCATATGTTGGACATATTAGACAAAGACTATAGTCCTCTGAAAAGTCCATAATGCTGAGAAAGGTGGAAGGAAAGAGATGAAGACATCCAGCAACAAGGTGGATGGACTCCATTGAAATGGAAATGGGTCCACAAATTCTTGGAGTACTAGTCACTAATATCAATAGTTATTAGTATTGATATTTGTATATTGTCTAAATCAAATGCAACAACCTTAAGTGCCAGCTGATGGAAAGCAACAGCTAAAGAAGTAAAAAAATAAGTAAGGTTGTTGGGAAAATAAGAGGAGGAGAAAGTATTAGGTATGTTCACAGCTTTGAGTTATTTATAAAAATAATAAGGATGGATTTTTAAAAATTTAAAAAGGAAAAGAAACATATTGTTTTCTTGCCCATATTTGTCCACAATGAGACAGAGGACACTGAATTAGGTGGGTTTTATCTGATCCACCATGACTCTTCCTATGTTCTTAAATGCCTGAGAAGCTCTCTGACCTTGCAGAATTCCTTGGTTGTATAAATTGGATCAACTGGCAAGAATGGAACAGAGGACAAATGCTGGCAAGGCTCAGGCATACATGGCAAAACATTTTTTTAACAAAAGTCAAACTTCAGTAATAAAAGCAATTCACAAAGGCAGTTATTATATTTTGCTAAGCAAAAAATTAGTTTTCATCTTTTATATTTCGATGTACAATTATGGTAGGTAATTTAAGAAAAGAAGGTATGTGGATAGATAAATGGGCAGACAGACAGAAAGAAAGAAAAATAAATGTTTCGTAACAGAAAAGATTATTAGGAATATCATTATAGTGGACTGAAATTATTTGCTGTAAATATGTATATGTTCATATCTAAATGTTACGCCATAATCTGATGTTATATTTCCAGGCAGTGGTGAAATTCAGCATCCACAAGCTTATGCCTCTTTTATCATGGGAATTGATTCATCACACTTCAATCAGTCTTTTGGATCTTATCTGAATACAGATTAAGATCCTGGAAAAGATTTACATGTTTGTGCAATAAAGAGGATGCACAAGAAAAATAGATTTGACTGGTGATAGGCTTTAGCTCCAATACCAATTATCCATAAAGATGATTTGCAAAAGATTATTTAAAAACTGGATTAAGGCCATTTTCTTTTTCTTAATGTAAAAAAAAACTACAAATAGTCTTAATCTTCGCTTTCTCTTCTTCAATTTACTTTGGCAATGACAACATCAAGGTTACCACTATGAGGCTGTTTTAAAAAGACATAATCGGAAATGATGGGTGTGCTTGGCAGTAATCTTTTACCAAACTAACCAAAAATCAGTTTCTTGATTATAAGTTAATTGCACAAATCTGGCTTTTCAGTTTAAAATGCAAATAGGCTTGATAGTTTATTTTAAATCAATATATTTTAACTTAGCTATTTCATGTTCATATATTCTTGGTTATTTATTTATTTGATTACTTTTAATTCAACGAAGTCTTAACTCAAGTAATCACTAGCTCAGCCTCGCTCAAATGGATGCTTGATGTTCTGCGGTTAAGTTCGACCGAGCCTGATAAGAGTCGTCATTGCATACAGTATTAATTTGGGAAAAGCAGTTGTAGAATTATATGTCATGCTATGTAACTATGGTGTGCACCTGGTTTTTAATTACCCCTCCCCTATTTTTTCAAACACTATACTATTGCATTCATTAACAGATGTAGTAAACTATGAATGAACACTATTGTTTATTATTGTATTTTATTGTAAATTACTTTTTATTACCCTGAAGTAAATTTAAAGTTGTAATAGATAAATAGGATTATGTGATCCAATATAAACCAAAAAAGTAAGAACACATATACAAACTTGGCTGTGCTTATTATAGTACTGTTGTTCATAATCATCAACAAGTTAAATGACAAAGTCTGGCTAACTAGAAAAGAATTTGATAGCATTACTTTAATAGAGTATAATTGCAACCAATTTACAGTCCACAATCATTTTAGAATCAACATCTGACATATAGTGATTTTAGCATGTTATTTATTTGTATTCTCTTCTGGGCTGCGTAAATTTAGTTCCTGATTAATTAAGAGTGATGTGATTCTAGTATTTCAGCTGATCCATAGCCCATCTATCAGGTCTATGAACTTGTCCTTAGTATCTAATTCTCTTCCTTGCTTTGCAATAATTATAATTTGGACTATAGGTCAAATCAAATCAAATCAAGAAAATCAAGCAAATTACCTATCACAAATTGTTTCTAAGTCAGAATTGGAAGCCTATTTTAAAGCTTGATTTTCAATTCACTGTTGGCAGCAAATTATTGTTTTCTGGTAATTGTCATTTTCTTGTATTAGATGTCACAGCATACACAATTACTAAGAGAGGGAAGTGGAACATGTAAGAGGAAGAAACATTGCCTTAATGAGTTAACAAGTGATTCATGCCATCTGAAAAAGAAATCAAGAAACAGATTTTGAAAAATCTCAAGCGTACAGTGAGAATTCACAAGTTTCCAAAAGCAGAATTATGAGATCTTTATACAAAGCTGCTTATTTTCCTCTGTATCTGCTGCATACCTTCTAATCTTCTCTGAAGAGTTGACAGAGAGTAGAGGGAAGATTTGGGAGATGAACTTGGGTGGAATGACTGAAGGTCCTTGATCCCCCTGCACAAGCAAATGTATAAGGAAACTTAACATCTGAAGCCTTTCTAGAGAAACTTCATCTGAAGTATGGCATGCACACAATAAGCCCTGTTTTTTCCTATTTCCTGCTTAAATAAGTATTATTGTTGTGTTTGTTAACACAACAAACATGACAGCATATGCAAGCACTTACAGAAAAAAAACCAACTTTGTTCAACTTCAGCAGGTGTAATTTGAAACATCTGAATTAATGAAAGAAAGCAGCATTTGCCAAATATGGCAAGAAAAGTAGCAGCATAGAAGTAAGGAAAGTAGGATACAAAATTGAGCAGGGGAAGCTCCATTGCTATGAAAAAGAGAGGTTGAAGGAGAAAATAGTTTAAAGAGAAACAGTTTGTCAAGAGAAGCAGTTTGTCAAGATATCTAAAACAGATATAGATATCTGTTTTAGAACACCACGCCAGACACACAAAAAGCATTCAAGACTATTTATGAACATTTGGAAGACATTTTTGTATATATGCGATATTATAGATTTCTGAACATAGTCAAATTCTATATAATCCAAGTATCAGAGTTAAAAACAAATTTGTCAATGACCAATAATTATAATTAATTGGCCATCACAGATCAAATTCCTCTTTAAACAGTCAAGAACATGTTAACAGTGCCAAGCATGTAACCATGTGGATGAAGCAGCTGTTTGTTCAGAAAGAAAGAGCTATTGGGGGGGGGATTAGGGTAGTGAGGCAAGTAAAAATCCACAAAAATATTTTTATCTGGGAAATCTAGATAGGGACAAGAAAAACATGGGATACAATGCTAGATAAGAATCACGAAATTCAAAATGAAGTCTTGGAATTTCTCTGGAAAATACAATATAAACACAGCAAGTTTGACCAAAAGTGGACAAATGCCTGGACTCAAGTGTAGTATAGTTACTGAATTCCAAACAGTGACATTGAAAGGACTAAATGTTTTGTTCATTGGGTGAACAAAAAACAGCAAATATAAATTTTGGCCGTTGAGTAGAAATTCTTAATAACTTGTTTGATTGCACACTTGTCTGAGGACAGGAAAATAGAAAGAAGAAAGAGATCCACAAGAGTGGGCAACCTCTGGAAGAGCTGAACTACAGAGTCAACAATCCTAGCAAACATCATCAGTAATAAGAGTTGGCTAGAGTTGTGGTTCAGCAACATCTGAAGGCTTGTAAGCCTCTCATCCTTGTGCTGCATACTAGCTTTTATGATGTCATGAACTGTTGTGATTTGGGCAGAGGTATACAATTCATAATGGGATTGCTTCCTCCCAGCAATTGAATTTAATTTAGCCAATTGAAAAGTTCAGTTTTCATTGTTTTTGGTGGCAAGTGGAATAGTACTTAGTTAGGCAATACACATTCTACATTGTGTATCTAATCAATGGAGCTATGCATCTTAACTTAATTTAGGATTCATGGATACTTATAACTAATGCAATCCAAATCCCTTTTGTTCCTGGGATTCTTCCCAGTCTTTCCTATTGAGTCACAATTTCCAGAGTAAAATGGAACATAAAAAATACCTTGAGCTCAGGTACCTGGTGTGTGAAGCAATTCTTAGATATAATCACTTTTACATATATTAAATATTTATATACCATGCTACAAGACCAAGTTTTGCTATGGCTTTCAAATCTTTAAAGCACAGGTGTCAAACTCACCACATCACATTGCCATCACTTGACGTTTCGTGTTGTTTTTCCCATTCATGGAACTGGGGTGGGTGTGGCCTGCATGTGACACATCCGGCTTGTAGGCTGCCAGTTTGACACCCCTACTAAAATATTAGATATACAGACATAGCAAAATACAACAAAAATACACCATCTGTTGAATTACAGAAAAGAAATTGATTTTTAGTTTATTAAATGCTGAATCCTAGTTGTAATTCTTTGGAGCCTGTTAATTATATATTTCATTATTTTCATTATTTTCACAAGTTAAAATTGCCCTCTCCTTGTATATAAAACTTTGTACAGCATTGTCCCTCAGTGAAATCTCTCCTTATAGAAATGTTTAGATCTTTGGAGCTGCCAGGGGGAACTGAAGCAGCTGTAAAGAATATGACAAATACATTCTAAGGACATTTTTCTGAACGGTTGTTGAGAGAGAATTGGGACTGAGGGGACTGCAGCGAGATAACAAAGGAAAAGCTTGAACCATTCTGTCACACATAATATTTAGGCAAATCCCATATCACAATATTAGCTGAAAGTAAAGCCTCCAGCTGGAACCCTGACTCAGGATTGGATAGCTAAAACTAGATATAACAAGTTAACCATACATCTGTATTCCTCCCTTCTTTCCAATTCCCTATTAAATATGTACATGTTTTTTATCATTCATTCATTTCTTTTTCTATCTGTACAATCAAGCTAGCTACTGATCCCTACTTTCTGGAAAAGTGAGGCAGATATTAAACACAAGTTGTTGAATAAATAACTAAAATTCAAAATAAATTTGCACTTTCTGCTTGCTCTAGTACTTCTATGGGCAACTGATTGCTTAAATGTAGAAACAAGTGACAATGTTCACTCTGGTCAATTGTAAAGCACTCTCTCTACCTGTTTCAAAACTACTGTTTGCCAGCATTTTCAAGTCCTTTTTCATTTTAGTAACAGCTCCAGCTCTGATTGGCTAGAAAATCTGGAATATAAGAATAAAAGAAAGACCTGTATACTTTAATTGCTTTAATTACTGTTGAGAGCAACAAATGTATAGTAAGGAAGAAAAAAAGGTCTGCATTTATGTCAGAAGAGAGAATTTGGGAAAGGTGTGAAGGAATCCATTCACCCAAACACTAGGGAAAGAAACTAGGCAAAGCAAGGGGACTAGCAAGCAGAGTAAAAAAAAAGTGGGGTGGGGAAAGCAATGAGAAGATCTAGCCACATATGGGTCAGTCAGTATGGTGAAACAAGAGGTTGATTAATGGAAAAATTATATAAATCCCTATTGTCAGTGTAACTTTGTAAAATAAGTTAGATAAAATAGTGAATGGGCAAGGTTACACAATGATCTCCAATGGCTAAATGAATATTTGAACCATGATTTTATTTTATTTTCATTATGGTTAGTCATTTAGATAATTAACACCACTCATATTTCACTACCTCCTATTCTCTTCTGATTCAAAGCCATTTCAATAAATTTTCACTCTCATATTCCCTCCCCACCAAAATTGGTACATAATTGTGTAGGGGAAAATTGTTTGTTGTATTAAAATACACAGAACATATTCAGTTAAAATAAAAATTATTTTACAAGGATATAATTTGGCTTCAAAAACTAAAGGATATACTGGGAAAATATGCCTTTCATGACCTACTCATTTTTGTATATGGCGAAGAGCTTTTATGAGCTTCATTTCAAGCTACATCATAGTATAGCAGTATGACATACGGAACTGGGCCTTTGTTCTAAGCAGCCAATCACTGGTCAGAGAAGCAAGTACTCATTTGAATTCTTACCCTTATAAAAGAGTACAACTAGGATGAAGTCACAGGCATTTGCAGGCAGACAGGCAGACAGGTAAGCAAGCAAGCAAGCAATCTTGGTATATGAAACAATGGCTTCAAGGAGAACAATGCGTAGAAGACCACGATACAGAGTAAAAGCCAGACGGAGAAGACATATTGTCCGAAAGAGAAGGATGAGGAATAAGAAAAGGTTCCGAAGGAACATCCGCTCAACTAGAATGACTTCCAAATTGCCAAAGAGATTAAAACCCAGAAAGATCCGAATGACCAGAGATGCTTGGGGCATGCTGCATTCTTATGTGGATGGCATCTACAGAAAAGTCTCTGGGGAAGCTGAACGCCTGAGAAGAAAAGATCGGCGTCCTTCCATCATTTCTTCAGATGTGCAAAGTGCCCTGAGGCAAGTCATGCCAAGGAAATACAACAGGCGACCTACCTACAGCAAAACCCGCTAGAAAGCTAATCCTTTCCCTTCTTTAAGGTGGGTTTAAATCTACAAACAAAAAAAGAAGGGAAAAGAAAAAAAAAACCAGCCTGAGAGAAACATTAATGTTCTGCCTGCCTAAAAGATCAAACGTGGCCTTCAAATTGCCAAAGAATCCTGTAACCTATCTTTTTTTTTCTTAAACCAACCTCACTACCTTATTATTTGAAGAAGAAAAAGATCTAAGAGAGACCATCATTACAAGAATGTTGTCCACCATAATAAAATCAGACTTCCATTGAAGTATTTTCTATTATGCATGGAAGCAACTATCAGACTATAATATACCAGCAATTTTCCATCTTTGTGAATCTGAGTCAGCAGAAAGAGAATACAGATGATACATAGAAAATACAGGACTATGTGAGGTGTACGCTGAAGGAATGTTTCCCTTGCAATAAAACAGGATTGGCAGGATTATTCATGGCATGTGTTTTCTTCAAACCACAGCTTTTGAAATTGTTTGCCCATGTGTGAAAGGGTAAATGGCTAGGTAAACAGATTGTGTTGACCCAATTTATAGCGGAGTAAGCCATACTGTCCTGCTTTAAACATAACTCATAAACTAAGAGATCACAAATTTCCCTGGTCTGAGGCTTGCACACTTTTCAGGTGATCACACACTTCAGAATATAGTGGGTAAGACCAGGAGAAAAACTAAATTTGATTTTATATTTATTGTTCTGCTTAATATAAATATAGAAAGTATAATTACTTCCCAGTCACATTTAATAATGTTATTTAAATTTAATCTTATATTTTAATAATTTAAATTTAATAACTATTAATAATTTAGTAATAATTTTTTTAAAAAATAATTTTTTGAATTTGTAAGGCTGATCATCAAGCAACTCATAGCAGTTCCAGACTATGTTAAATACTCAATAGAACAGTGGAAGAAAAACTAAATAGCAAATAATTATCGGTGGGATGGGTGTGGGGAAACACAGCACACTAGCTGAATTACAAAATGCATAACTAGAGTCTGTTGGAACAGTCAGGTCTTTATAAACTTCAGGATTAGGTTCATGTGGATCTCAGGAGGACTACTGTTCTAGAGGACAGGAGCAGCTACAAAGAAGGGACATTTCTTATATTACATAAACTGATATTTTTTCAATAAGAAGATCCAAAGCATGACAATTCAGCCAATCCTTATGGGTATACAAAGACAATTGGAGAGAAGCAGTGCCACAAATACTCAGAGCCTAACATGAAAGGCTTTAAGAATGACCATTAACACACTGAATTCCATCCAGAAGACAGCTGGCAACCAGTGCATCTCATATAGCAGAGGTATCACATTATATCAAAACTCACCCTAACTGCTTGCATCACTGCATTCTAATCTTATTTATTTATTTATTTATTTTATTTATTATATTTCTATACCGCCTTTCTCCCGTAGGACTCAAGGCAGTGTACAGTCAAGAAAAATATAGACACACAAACATCATAAAATTGCTAATTAAAATTATTACTTAGTTTGGTCAATTAAATAAAACCCAGAATTAGATCACATTTAAAAAATCATTCACATGTTCATATGTTTAGCCCCGCCTGTTGGAACATCAGGGTCTTGAGGGCACGGCGGAAAACACGGAGATCAGGGATATTCTGTATCTCCGGGGGCAGTTCATTCCAAAGGGTTGGAGCCCTCACAGAGAAGGCCCTCCCCCTGGGAGTCGCCAGTTGACATAATTTGACTGACGGTACCCTGAGTAGTCCCTCCCTGTGAGAACGAACTGGTCGGTGGGAGGCTATTGGTGGCAAAAAACGGTCTCGTAGATACCCAGGTCCTAAGCCATGGAGCGCTTTAAAGGTGATAACTAACACCTTGAATCGCACCCGGAAGACCACCGGGAGCCAGTGCAGCTCGCGTAGGAGAGGTGTTACATGAGCGTAACGAGCTGCGCCCATAATCACCCGCATGGCTACGTTCTGGACCAGTTGGAGCCTCCGGGTGCTTTTCAAGGGGAGCCCCATGTAGAGAGCATTACAGTAATCCATACGGGAGGTAACTAGGGCATGAGTGACCGTGCGCAAGGCGTCCCGATCCAGAAAGGGATGCAACTGGTGGATCAGGCGAACCTGAATCAGGCCACGGCCATCAAATGATCTTCTAAAGATAGCCGTGAATCCAGGAGGACACCCAAGTTGCGGGCCCTCTCTGTGGGGAGCAAGATCTCATCCCCTATTGTCAGTGATGGTACCAGCTGACTATACCGGGATGCCGGAAGCCAATCATCTGATAACCTCCCAGTACAATTCAATAGCCCTAAAGAGAGGTGAATAAGCCATGTGTGACTGTGAGAAGGATCTCATGACACAAAAAAGTCCAAATAATGCAAGAGATTAATCTGAGCAAAGATTCTCCTAACCAGAGGTGGGTTTCAGCAGGTTCTGACCAGTTCTGGAGAACCGGTAGCAGAAATTTTGAGTAGTTTGGAGAACCGGTAGTAAAAATTCTGACTGGTCCCGCCCCCATCTATTTTCTGCCTTTCAAGTGCCAGCTGATCCAGAGGAAATGGGGATTTTGCAGTAAACTTTGCCTGGATTGGGGAGGGAATGGAGATTTTACAGTATCCTTCCCCTGAAGTAGGGTGGAAATGGAGATTTTACAGTATTCTTCCCCTGCCACGCCCACCAAGCCATGCCATGCCATGCCACGCCCACAGAACCGGTAGTAAAAAAAATTAAAACCCACCACTGCTCCTAATCCTACTAAGTTCATATACATGACATAATACAACATGTAAGTGCAACTGATGAGTGCTTTCTTCAAAATTCCATACTCATACAAGATAATGATGATCCATTATTTTGATAGCAACAATAATTACTGCAATATTGACTTTATCGAACCTGAACCTCCTAAATTTACAGAAAGCTAGTCTGCTTGCAACTCCTCTATTTTTAGGTCCTTGCTTAGTATTGAATTAAGTTTCCAGCAGTCTCAGATTGTGAATCTAACAGTAGATTACCCACACATAGTTTATGAAACTTGTACGCCATTAGACTATCAATGACTCTGGCTCACAACAAGAAAATTACAAGAAAATCAAGGAAACATAATTGATGGGAAGCATCAGTAAGTGAGAATGAAGACACAATGTAGCTATAGGTCAAATAAAACCTTTCATAACCTTGGTTTCTGATGATGCAATAATAGTAATCTAATAAAATGCCTGGTAATGTGAGACAACTCTTGAGTTTATTATTCATGGATTTAAGGTTTTTTTAAAAAATGAATCCTGATGGACAATTCTATAATTTTGACCAGATTCATTGATAAGTTATCACTAAAAGCCAAAAATGCAGCAACAATTTAAGAATGTTGTCAGAATTTTTATTATATAACATGATTTCTACACCTCTCAATTCTGATAAGAGGTAGGCTATGAAATAAGATCCTTTTAAAGAAAACACTAAACTCTAAAAATTGAAATCCAGGTATTTTACAAGAAATACCTCTTCTGTAAATGAGACTTAAATTCTTTTTCTCTTTTTCCATAACTAGATAATTATAATTTGGCCTACCAACCTTTTTAATTGTATTACATAGTAATTTTTATTTCAACAAAGGGTCAAATAAGAATTTTACAATGGTCAAAATGAGATTGTATTTACCGTATTTTCCGGCGTATAAGACGACTTTTTAACACATGAAAATCTTCTCAAAAGTCGGGGGTCGTCTTATACGCCGGGTGTCGTTCTCCTGTAACCAGGCAGACCAGCCCGAAAGGCTCTAACGAGCCTTAAATGGCTCTGGAGATCCCAGCTCTGACGATCCCAGCTCTGACAATCCCAGCTGAGTTCCCTGCAACTCAGCTGGGATCGCCAGAAACCACGTAAAAGGAAAAAAGTTTTTTCCCTTTTACTCTGATGATCCCAGCTCTGACGATCCCAGCTGAGTTCCCTGCAACTCAGCTGGGATCGCCAGAACCATGGCTCTGACGGTCGATCCCATCCCAGCTGAGTTCCCTGCAACTCAGCTGGGATGGCCAGAGCCATGTAAAAGGGAAAAAGTTTTCCCCCTCCAGCTTGCTTACCTCAGCTGCTAGTCGCAACGCTTGCCTTGCTTTGCTTGCCTGAATCTATTCAGGCAAGCAAGCAACTCCCTGCCTGCAATCAAGCAAGGAGGGAGTTGTGGACTTCAACTCCCAGAATTCCTCAGCCAGCAAAGCAAAGCTGGCTGAGGAATTCTGGGAGTTGAAGTCTACAAGTCTTAAAGTTGCCAAGGTTGGAGACCCCTGTTCTATTGGGTAAGTTTTTTTCCCCTTTGGGAGCTTTAAAAAAAATAGTCAATTGGGGTTTTTTTAGTTGTTCTTTTTTAGACCTAGCCATTTAAAGTTTAGGAAGTTTTAAATTTAGCTTTCATATAAAAATAAAAATAAAATAAAATAAAATAATATTTGTGCAGCTTTCTGAGATTTAGTGTGTTTCTGTAGTGTTTCACTCCAACTACACAAACACACAAAATCTCACAAAGCTGTATGTGGAATTTGGTGTGTGTAAAGTGTGAAAGTTGGTTTTTTGGACTTTTTGTGGCTGTGTGAGGTTCCTGCTTGTTGCAGGGGCCATTTTGGGTCTAGCACAGCTGCTTTTACATTGTGGGTGAGCCAGTTGTGTTGTGTTGTGTGTGTTTAGAGTGTGAAAGTTTTTTGGGGGGGCTTTTTGTGGCTCTGTGAGGTTCCTGCTTGTTACAGGGGCCATTTTGGGTCTAGCACAGTTGCTTTTACATTGTAGGTGAGCCAGTTGATGTTTTTTAATTTTTATTTGGTGTGCATTGGAAGAGGGGCAGTCTTATATGGCGAGTATAGCCCAAACCCTATATTTTAACAGGAAAAGTTGGGGGTCGTCTTATACTCCCAGTCGTCTTATACGCCGGAAAATACGGTACATCTATTCAAAGAAGTAAATGATATAAGAAATGCTTATTTTAACTATTAGAAATTATACTTATCAAAA